GAAAGAGTGACTAAAAGCAGAAGGAGATGCAGAACTGCTGCTGATGAGCACGCAGCGTTGCTGGATCTGATTGCTTTTGTTTTGTTTGTGTCCTGCAGATGCCGCTGAACCTGCAGCCAACTCGGACAGCGAAGGTTCGTCCCTTTCGTCTATGGAAGAGGGGGAAATTCGGGACAGTACGTGACGGTTCTTTGAGAGAAGTGGGTGCAATGAGCAGTTTATGTTTTTAAAATTTAATTAAATCTTTTTTTATACAACGGAGACCTTGGAGGGTTGGTTTCCTTCGCTAAAGGCAGCACTTCCAAACTGCCTGCCCGTTTTTGGGTGTAGTAATGCGTGTTTAGGGATGTAAATAAAGAGATGGGGAGTTGCTGGTTCCAGAAAAAGACTGCACTTCTTATTTAACTGCACCCTTTTGTCCACATATCTTTAATAAATCAGAGTAAGACAGATTTTAAGTCTGCAAGTTAGTTTCAATAATGTATTTTTTCCTGTTACCCAAACAGCTTAGTGTCTGATTTCTGAGTGTAAATATCTGGTCACATGTTTGTATTTATCTGTGGATTTGAGTCTTAATGCTTAAACTTACTGAAAAAAAGACATTGTCTCATGAGATAAATTTTATTTTAGGATATTTCTTTGTCACGCTTTGCTGCTGCAGACGATCTCACGTCACTTTTGACTTCAGTCCTCTGTGGCCACATTTTGGTTGCCTGGTGCAAAACGTGTTTGGGGTTTTTTCTTACTTGGTTGCATCTCATTCAGTGGGTTAAGGACAGGTCAGGTGGTGTTTTCGGGGTGGCATGTTGCTGGTTGTTTTATCTTCCACCCTGATCTTCTAAATTAGCATGGGTTTCAACATCAGCATCAATGGATGGATGGAGTGGCACTAGTGCTCATATATTGGGCTTCTAAACAACACCTGTGTTACGCATCTCTATAACTAGTTTACCTACTAAAGCCAGGTATTGTAAATATTTACTGGAATGTCAACTAAATTTACCTACTTAACAACAAATAAACCTTAAAATAAAGAAGTCCTTTGCTGTATCATCTGCTGACAGCGGAGATCTGTTGTTGTCTGGGCGGGTTTGTGGATGTCAGACCACTTATCACTGTATCTGCCCCCACGTCTGTGGGATCTGCTGGGGGACAGGACCAGCGTGTGCTGCGAGGAGGGCAGGTTTTCCACACCTTTGCAGACAAATTGTCATTAAAAACCTGTTCACCTGGCAACTGAAGTTTGGGAAGAGCATCAGCCTCTGTAGGCACATAGTACTTTTGTTTCACATAGTACTTCAACTTGTTTCAACAAGTACTTTTGTTTGCTGCTTTCATGCTTTTTCAGTTCAGTGAAAGTGAACAAGCTTTCCTAATTGTTTATTACTGCACGCTGGCTTGGTGGCCACAAATTGCTTTAAACCGGTCTTGGATTCATTCATAGCAACACTGATGAAAGAGCAGAACAGCGAAACTGCCACGGTTCGTTTGCCAGCAGATGCTTCATCTGGAGTAAAAGCGTGGCATGTCTGGTGAGATTCACAGCACGCGGTGGAAATTGGTGCTGCAGGTATCAGTGGTGTGTGTGTGTGTGTGATGAGTCTTAGAGGAACGCGGGTTTGTGATTTGTGTTGGTTTCCGATGCTCTTGGAAGTTTTCATGAGTTGTGTGAAAGGGTTTGCCGGAGTTGTTTGTTTATTTCTTATGTAAATCTACTCAAAAGGTAATAATAATATTCGTAATATTAATTATAATTTGTTTTTAAATTAAAATGCTGTGAAATCTGTCCTTCACATTGAAATCTTTTCCTACCTTAAAGAAGGCTTTGAAAAAATTACTGAGGAGCATTCCCGTGGTAGTTACCAGAACTGAAATTTCCCAAAAAAGCTGGGAATCCTCTCCCAGAGCTCACTCAACTTGAGGGTAAAAGGTCTGGGTGGCGTTTGCCGTTCACTCCCAGGTTACCATTTGCCATTTTTATTTAGTTTTGATGCAGTTACGCTATTGAAACGGGTGGCTCATCAAATGCGAGCCAAGATGAAATTCAAATGTTTTTAATTAGTTTTGCTGAACTTTTCCAATTTTTAGTTTATAAAAATGAATTAAAATGATGATCTGTGGCTCAGAGCGCAGCCTTTCTGGTGCCAGGTGCAGGTCCTGCAGCAGTGGGAGTTCTTCATCATAATAAGGTTACGGATTTGGGCAAAGTTTGTGCTTTTGGGCTGGGCAGGTGGTTTTTAGCACTTCCATAGGCGGTTAGGTTAGGGGGAGCTTTTCCTTCCTTTCTGAGTGACTTAGAACGAGCTCTTGTAACAAACTGAGGAGACAAAATGCGTCTTCAGGAGCTGTATTTTTACCAAGGTCCTGGTCAAACATTTGCAGTGAAGACGTGGAGCTGAGGCTGCCTGCAAGACCTCAGTTCTGTCCATTTTGAAAGCATCATCCTGTGATCACATTAAACAGGGTCCCTACAGGACCGTGCCTTGATCTAGCACAGATGATGTCTGTGAATGAAGCTGTGATGTTGTTTTAATCTTCATCATTCAGCACCAGCTCGCGCCGGGCGCCTGATTTTATGCCCACTACACTCACTCATTTATTTTCCTCTGTAAACTTGTCACAGAGTGGACGAGCTACTTGTGTCGTTACGGCATTTATTTAACGTTCAGGCTCTTCAGGTTCCAAACCTTGAGCCCTCACGGCGTGCCGGAGCTGAAGGGCCACCCGCTTAGAAAGCAACGGGTAAGGGCCCTTGTCCTGAATGAGCGCGCTACTTAAAAAAATCAAAAGCTTAATGAAGTCATCCCTCTTGCAAGCCGTAAGGGACAAAAATAGAGCATAGCTGAGCGCATAGCAATAGCTGAGAGGCAGGGTTGAGTCAGCCGTGGTTCTTTTCCTTTTTTGTATAACTTTGTGGGGTATGAGGCGTAAGTTACTGCGCTGTCATGGGTAAACAGCGTTACACCCCTGTCAGCGTGGCAGCTGCGTTTGAATGAACGCATCCAAATGGCAGGTTTACTGCATTTATCTCCACAGGAGGAGTTGTTGATCTGTAGAGGAAAAGAGGGGTCGTGCCACGAAGTGCGTGGTTGGCGCTGGGTCTTACAGCCACGCCGGAGCAGTTTTGTTACTTGGACAGCGCGGTTTTAGTTTGCACTGGGAGTAAAACAGTTTCCCGTGCAGAACACGTGCTCTGGGCTAACACAGCACGTAAATGTCCGTGTTCCCGTAGTGCTGATAGCGAGGGCTGGCGTACACGTGCTGCGCATCAGCGTGGCTGTGATTCAGACCCTGCCCTGCCAGGTCCCGCTGTTCGCTGTTGACATCTGTAGGAACGGGAACGTGTAGCGCTGCGAGAGCGGGCCCTCAAAGGGCGAGTGTGCAGCTGTGGTGATGCAACTTCAGGCCCTATTTGGGCACAAACATTTCATTCTGTTTTCCTTAAGTCCCACGCTCTTTTCCTGAAAACGCCGCCGCTTCTTCCCTCCAAAGGAAAAAATATCTTGAATTTGTGTTTGTGTTGTTGCTATGACGTTCAGTTAAACTGTGTGCAGATGCAGGTTCTGTTAGGAAGAGAAAGAGGGGAAAAAAGGGAACTGTGTACCTCAGTGAACAAAGACTGCCCTGTGTTTGTGTTAAAATGTTGCCATGGCAGTGCATATGGTTGTATTTGGTGGAAATCTGCGGCGAGGCGGAAGGAAGTCACGTGTGTGCAAGACAAACAAGAAATGGCAGCAAAAACAACTCCGGATAAATACTGAAACTGAAAGGGAAGTTGCAGATGACAAATGAAACCAGGAAAGAGAGAAGGATAATCGTTTTGCTGCCTGCCTGTGATCTGATAGCAGAAATGTGTTCCCGCTGTGTCCTCCCGGGTCTCAGTGACCCCTTGGACGGTGGCTTAGCTCTAACGATGCTTTTATGGCAAGGGCTTCTTGTCCTCACTGGCTCCGTGCATTCTATCTCTTTCTCTTTTGATTTTGGTAGCAAAGTCCCACTGGCTTGGCCCGGTTCCCCCACTGCTAACTTTTTCTGCTGAAGGCCATTTCCAGGCTATCCTACTGCAGTTGGCCTCTTGGCAGGAAGAATCAATAGTGTGATAAAATATGAAAGGTCACCAGGGCCCTGTGTACCTCTGGGGCAAAGGGAAGTCTTTGTGGACTTCCTGGCTCCCACTGGCGATGGAAACAGTGGGTTTCTTTTTAAACTGGCATTGTAGTCCTCATGTTTATCTAATCCTTTTGCATTAGGCTTCTCGACTGGGAGCTGGCTGGTTCCTGTGTGATTCCAGCTGGTGGAGGAAGCAAAAGCGTGCCCCAAGGAGGAGGAAGAAGTGATGGTGAAAGCTGCTGCTGCTTCCAGGTTTTCTGCTGAATCACATTGTGGCCCCAGGACTTCTCCATTTTGCCACGAGTGCCGAGAGGGAGCAGAGAGGTGCCCAAGTGAAGTCAAAATGAAGTTGGTGGATGAGGTGCAGATACTGAGGGGAGAAAAAGCAGACAGGGGTGTGTTAAAAGCTTGACTGAGGTGTCCCCATCACCTTCTCATGCTTGAACTCCCAGTGGTATCTTTTTGTTGACCCTTTTTTCCCGACCTCTGCTTTTTTTTCTCCTGAATGGTTGCTATGTTGCATCCCATAAGTGGTTGTACTTCAAGACAAGATGAAGTTGCTTATGTGAATGGTGCCTTGGGGTCTTTCAGGATCTTCTCCAGTATAAATTGTGTATGCAGAAGTCACAGCTCTGTAGTTTTTCTAGGAGAAAAAAAAAGTCATAGCATTCTGGATACCATCTGTCCAGTTTCTAGGTGTTTGGTCTCCGAAGGATAGTACAGGTAGATGCTTATTGTATGATCTTGTTGGTTGAAGTCGTCTTTTCCAGGTTTCATATTTTCTGGTCACCAAGTCTCGTTCAGTTGTTGAAATGCACCTGTAGGGATCTCCAAAGCCAGTTGTGTGTTACTGCTTTCGCTGTGGCACCTCCACTTTTCTGTGTGCTGTTTCGTATGTAAAGTGGAGCAGGACACTGTGACGATAGAAACAGGGACACGTCTACATGTGAAAACAGGCTTGGGGCAGAGCAGCCCGTGAAGCGACCCAGCCTGCCCTTGCTGTGAGCCGAGCTCCCTGGGCACTGCACGGATTCAACAGGAGCGAACTGAAATGCGCACGTGTGTCAGAGCGCCGTTCTGCAGGGTCAGCTCACAAGGGCAAGCGCCTGGCAAGAGCACACTGTGGTGTGACACATATAACTGCTGCTGTGTAGGTTTGGCTTCCAGACTTTCTTGTTTCAGTCCTTGGGACCTGTCAGATTCAGGCACCTTCAGTGGCCTGCGAGCACTGAAATGATCCCGCTGATCCGCGGTGCCTCTGCCTGCTCCTGCACCGCCACCGGCTTCCCACCAGGGGACACGGGGCTGGTTCCCAGAAGGTGTCCACGGGAGGGTCAGGAAGCCCTGTGGGGACTGCTTTGCTGTGGGCTCCACAGTAACTTACCCCTGGAGTCCAGGAGCTCTCGTGGCTCAGCTCAGCAGTCCATTAACTGCTTGGCTGTCCCAGTGTCAGTGAGATGTCAGCTTCTCCAGCTGCTGCTCACCCAGGAGAGCGAGCTAGCAGCATCTCACCAGAGGATTTAATGTAATCATGGAAGTCTGTTTTCTGTATATGCCAGCTTTTATTTTGTTCCCTGCGATGCAGCGCTTCAGGAAGCAGAAACTTTGTCTTTCCTATGTTGCCCTCATTAGCAGGGAAGGTTTTTGTGTGTAACCCTGACATTAGAGTGGTTACCACCATCAGACTCTTGTAAATCGGTGCGTCTGATACAGGACTGCACTTCTTTGATCCTGAAGCTGTAGTTTGACCAACGCTCCTTTTGGCGGCAGCACCAGACTCAGCAAAGTGCCCCTGCTACCGCTCTCCATCCTCGGGTGACCCCAGCGCTTGCACCAACGCAGCCGCCTGGGCCTTGCGTGACAAATCGGAGCAGCTTAAAAATAAGGAGCAAAGGACGGGGGCAGATGAGAGGGGAGAGGTGGGACCGGGACGGCTGAAGCAGGAGCTGCTGCGGAGGGGACGGTGCTGAGCCCTGCGCCCGCAGGTTCGGCAGCACCACTCGCCCCTCTGGGTGCCGGGGCTCCCCAGACCAGCGCAGGGCTCTTGGAGGAGTTCACACAGCTCGGGTGGCTTTGTTTTCAGAGCCTGAACTGAATGGCCTGGCATTGAAAGGTGCTGAGAAACCACTGCTTTTTGTCGTGTACGTTATTTATTATGTTCCTAACTCCTCATCCTTTAGTGTTCATCCTGAAGGATATTGATATTTTAGGTTTTCACCAAGAAATAAAGTTATAGTTGTGTTTATTAACTTTACCTGTAAGCCCTGCTGAATGCACTTAAAGGAACTCGTGCTTTTATAGTGTGTATTTTCCTGCCTAGTGTT